GTGTATGTGTGTAGTGTGTAGTGTATGTGTGTAGTGTATGTGTGTGTGTAGTGGATGTGTATAGAGTGTATGTGTGTGTGTGTAGTGTGTATGTGAGTGGATGTGTATAGAGTGTATGTGTGTGTGTGTAGTGTGTGTGTGAGAGTGTAGTGTGTCTGGAGTGTGTATATATAGTGTGCGTAGGTGGTGTGTTTGTGTGTATAGTGTGTGTATGTGTAGTGTGTTTATGTCTATGCGTAGTGTGTGTAATGTACACGTATAGTGTGTGTATGCTGGTGTGTTTATGTGTCTGTGTTTAGTCTGTGTATGTATGTGTAGTGTGTTTGTGTATATGTGCAATGTGCATGTGTAGTGTGTGTATGTCGGTGTGTCTGTGTGTGTATGTGTGGAGTATTTGCGTGTATACGTAGTGTGCGCGTGTGTGCATTGTGTTTGTATGTGTGTGTAGTGTTGTGTGTAGTGTGTGTGTAGGTGTAGTGGCATGTGTAGTGTGTATGCGTAGTTTGTGCATGGTGGTGAGTTTGTATGTGTGAGTGTGCTTGTGTGTGTAGCGTGATGTGTGTGCTTACAGTGTGTGTGTAGTGTGTTGGGTGTGTGTAGTGTGTAGGGTGTGTATGTAGTGATGTATGGATTTAGTGTGTTTGTGTGTAGTGCGTTTGCGTATGTGTGGAGTGTGTGAGTAATGTGATTGTGTGTGTGCTTGTGTTTGTGTAGTATGTAGTACGTGTGTGCAGCGTGTGTGTAGTGGTGTGTGTGTGTGTGTAGTGTGCGTGTGTGTAGAGTGCGTGAGTGTCTAGTGTGTGTATGTGGTGTGTAATATGTGTGAGTGTACTGTGTGTGTGTGCGTGTGTGTGTGCGTGTGTGTGTGCGTGCTTGTGTTTGTATGTGTGTATAGTGTGTCATATCCAGGTGATTTTTTTTTCCTCTAGAATCCATAAGCTTTTAGACACAAGTTAATCCTCATCAGAAAATTAAGAGGAACATGAAAGGGAGCGAGAAAAATACATTGTCGAAGGTTTCCCGCGAAAATTATCCAATTATTATAGTTAATATCAATGACCGATCAGTCCAAGTGCATTGCGAGGAGAACAGAGAGAGAGAAGAAGAAGAAGAAGAAGAAGAAGAAGAAGAAGAAGAAGAAGTGGAGAGAGAGAGAGAGGGGGGGGGAAGTGGGAAGAGAGAGAAAGTGGGAAGTGGGAAGAGAGAGGAAGTGTGAAGGGTGTGCTGTAATTTTGAACGAAATAATTCTTGAGTCTCGGTGTAGAAGGAGCCTTTCTGGGGAAAAATTTTGTTATTTTGTTCATATCTGTGAGAAGTCGGTAGGTAGAAAAAGATAGATAGATAGATAGATAGATAGATAGATAGATAGATAGATAGATGTTTAAAAAATAAATAGCTTTTTACAGCTTAAGATAGATAGATAGATAGATAGATAGATAGATAGATAGATAGATAGATATGAAGAGGCTGAGATATATATGGACAGACTGAGATAGATATGAATAGACAGATAGATAGCTATGAACAGACTGAGATAGATATGAACAGATAGATAGATAGATAGATAGATAGATAGATAGATAGATAGATAGATAGATAGATATGAAGAGGCCGAGATAGATATGTACAGACTGAGATAGATATGAAAAGACAGAGATAGATATGAATAGACTGAGATAGATAGATAGATAGATAGATAGATAGATAGATAGATAGATAGATAGATAGATAGATCTGAACAAACTGTAGATAGATAGATAGATAGATAGATAGATAGATAGATAGATAGATAGATAGATAGATAGATATGAACAGACTGAGATAGAAATGAAAAGACTGAGATAGATAGATATGAACAGACTTGGATAGATTTTGTTCATATCTGTGAGAAGTCGGTAGGCAGAAGAAGATAGATAGATAGATAGATAGATAGATAGATAGATAGATAGATAGATAGATAGATATAAACAGACTGAGATAGAAATAAAAAGACTGAGATAGAAATGAAAAGACTGAGATAGATAGCTATGAACAGACTGAGATAGATATGAACAGACTTGGATAGATTTTGTCCATATCTGTGAGAAGTCACTAGGTAGAAGAAGATAGATAGATAGATAGATAGATAGATAGATAGATAGATAGATAGATAGATATGAACAGACTGAGATAAAGAGGAAAAGACTGAGATGGATAGCTATGAACAGACTGAGATAGATAGATAGATAGATAGATAGATAGATAGATAGATAGATAGATAGATAGATAGATAATGAACAGACTGAGATGGCTATCTAGATCGATAGATACAGACAGACGTATGAATAGGATGAGACAGATAGTGAGATATATGAATAGACTGAAATATATATAAAGATAGAGAGAGGGGGGAGAGAGAGAACGAGAGAATGAGAGAGAGAAAGTTAGAGAAACATATACATAGACTGAGAAAATAAATTCTAATAATTCTGCTTCTCCCTCCCTTAGAACTTTAGAGACAGCGATAACGTTTCCATGCACTTAATATCCGTCCACTTCAAATCTTTACACTTCTTCCCTCTTGCTTTAAAGTAATAATGACCTGCATCCATATTTCTGATTGTTATTTCAATATTTCATTAAAGTTGGTAAGCTCAAATAATACAATGCAGGGAATTTCTACGGGTATTTTGTCGTGGAACTCGCAAGGAACTTATTCAGTCATTAACATAATAATTATGATTCCTTATTCACGTAATAATAATAATAATACCGTAAATTGCGGCGTACAATTTCGACCTATATCTAGCGTATAGGTCGACCCCGAAATATATGATAGGCTGCCAGTGACCCAAAACTTAGGCCTACTCGTAAATGAAGTTAGGTTACAGTATAGGATAATCTGTAGTAAAACTACATCAGGTTACACCACTTACCTTCCTATTGGGACACTATTCGTCATATCTTTTTAAATGCTTTGTATCGCAAACAACCTACAACACATGCCAGTATGTACCGTATATTTTATCGGTATAACTAAGCAGACATTTAAAATTCGTTAGGTTTACTGATAAACACTTTAAAATCATCATCAACTCCTATAAGATATTAATACCTTAGATTACTCATCACACAAGGTAATTATTTTTTAAGTCCTGTTACATATTGTAAGTTATTGTAAAACACAGTATCATTCAACTGCCTGAGTTAAAAGGCGCTTCGGTCAATGTTTACTCTTAGTGTATCAGCAGTTGGACGTGATGTGTGATGTAGCCTTAATAGAATAATGAATTTGCGTTACTATTTTATTATCTTATATTAATTTCTTTATTAATATGTCGAATATGTTGACCAAACATGAATTCTAGTGGGATATATTTGTGGCAGCTTGCTGGAGGTACGTTAAGTGGTGTACTGTAATTGTTACGAGTGCTGTCCCACTTGTTTAAAACTCAGTGGTAAAAGGTTTGCATTTTATACCTGCCATATTAGTCGACCATTTTGGAAATTTTCTTGTCTTGAAGACTCGACTTGTATGCCGCAATTAACAGTAATCATAAAAGAAACTTAAAACTACGATTATCTCTGTCGTGATATAGATATTGGGTATGATAAAAATGGTACCGAAAATCATGTGAGTACAATTCTTGGAGACATCAGCATGTCAGAGCTACAAAAGATTACTTTGTCCGCAAATGCAAATATCATCGGCAAAACCCTCTGCATCTAAATGAAACGTCCCAAATGTGCATTGATAACTGACCTACAGCGCTCTATTTACTCATAGACCCCGGAGGCGGGCTTGATAATTACGCACTTAAAATTACTCTCTGGCAAGATAATACCACACACAATAATAATAATAATAATAACAGAAGTAACTCGCCGCGGAGCAGTGGCTAGCAACTAGCCTCGTAAATGATAATTTAAGTTATATTTATAAAAAATATCGTCATATATTGCGGGAACAACTTCAATGCACGGACAAATGATAAATGGTAGATGACTCCCATACAATGCCCTTTTTATTCATAGACACTGGAGGGGGGAAATTAGTTATTAAAAATTACTTGGACACCTCGAGATGGTTAGCAAGCATGTCTCGCTAGAACAATTACGACTGGGTAGTGAGCTCGATCCTCACTGGGTGCCCCATACTTTCGGCCTTGCGCCACATCTGAGCTACGCTTGGAAAATCACTATTGAAGATCACTCTATTGCAAGATGATACCACGCGCAGTAATAATAAATCGAATCCCACAAAATCCTAGTTGGCAAAGACTTGGCAAAGGTGACATACCATATACTAAGAAAAGTGCTATTAAGTAAATGACAGTTCTCCAATATGATCTAAGGACCATAGTTTGGACCCGGATACGCAGTCTACCGCAGTCTAACGCAGTCTACCGCAGAAAGAAATGGCAACCTACTGCGGGAAAAAAATCTGCCTCGTCAGTTATGTACCGAAAATATACATGATCACCTATGCGTGTATCACCCATGGCACATAACTGACTGAATAGGGTGATTGGGTATGTTGAAGAAAGGTACCGAAAATCATGTGAGTAAAATTCCTGGACACATCAGCATTTCAGAGCGGCAAAAGATTACTTTGCACATATTATCGGCAAAACCTTTTCCATATAAACGAAACGTCTCAAATGTGCATCGATAATTTCCCTTACAGTGCCTTTTTTACTCTCTGAGTAAAGATATTACCACACACAATAATAATAATAATAATAACAGAAGTAACTCGCCGCGGAGCAGTGGCTAGCAACTAGCCTCGTAAATGATAATTTAAGTTATATTTATCAAGAATATCGCGATGTATTGAGACTAGACCAGATATAGTACCAATGTTAAATGTACGGACAAATGGTAGATTTATAAACGTGGAAGATGGATTCTGTCGAGAAAAAAATATACTCCAGAGTTACCAATTTTTCCTAGCAATAGATTCAATATAATTATTCCACTAAAGTTCAGTGGGAAATATGAGCCCGAGAAGGCACAAAAAGATGCTCTCCTGGAGGTTAGCATCAGCCGTACTGACGGTTTGGTTTACGTTTGTTTTTTTGCCTGTCTGTCTGTCTGTCTATCTATCTATCTATCTATCTATCTATCTCAGTATATATTGGCTTGGTTTGGTTTATTTTGTTTTACAGCATATCAACCTCAATGGGTTATTTAATGCAGACAAGATTTTTATTGCTGGTAATATTTTTATAATTTAACATAATATTATTTTTGGTTTTAAGTCAAGTACGGCGCCTTTCTTAAGGATGTTCATCTTTACGTCAAGAAACTGATTCGATCCTTTAGTTGTTTGGTTTAGTTTGGTTTGCTTTACGGCATATCAACATCTCAATGGGTTATTTAATGCCGACATTTTTATTGCTGGTAATATTTTTTTTCAAACATGTATTGCTAGTAATATTTTTCCTTCAAAAAGTCTATTTGTGATAATATTTTTTTCAAAAAAGGATTGCTGGTAACTTTTTTTTTTTTGCCTAAAATGTATTGCTGATAATAATGTATTGATAGTCATAATCTTTTTTTTCTTTTACAAACTATTTCTGGTATTAAGACCTACTTTTATACTTTCAGAGTGTTTTGACCCCAATTTGGGGGTTACCTATTTGCCCATAGCTGGGGCCTAACAGGTGATACCACAGCAGGTCAGGGTGGACCTGGGAACACCAGCAATTAAGAGGTGGTTCCACACTCCTCAAAACCTCCTGATCAGAGGACTTGCTGTTGGACGTCGTTTATCGTCTTAGCCAGGACGCGGATGTAGTTTATCGTCATACCCAGGACGGCCATACTGACGGAGAGTAATAATTGTTCTCTTTGATGTTTAAAGGATATCTGTTGCATCTTGGAAACGTTAGAATTTACAAGCCATTTCATGCTCCATCTAAAAACAGATTGGATTTCATTTTAGAGATCAGCTTCAGTTTTACTTTAAGAGAGCCTTGGGACTTATTGTTAAGACAGGAGTAAGTAGTAGTTTTATAAGCATAGATACAGAGTTGGTAAGTGATGACATCACGAAGGTCGTTGGTGAAGGTAATAAACAAAGTAGGTCAATGGATAGTGCCCTGAGAGGCACACAGAATTATAAACCAGCTTTGAAATTGTAAAATACAGCTAAAATTTATTGTCCTGTTTGTAGACCTATAGGTGCAATGCAACCCCGCCTTACCGCTGGCAATCAGCCGGGTTTAATGAGAAAGATTCTTGTTAGATCTTTTCTCTGTGTCGTCCAATAGTCTAGGGTATGACAATAAAATACATCCTGCCTCTGATCGAGAGATTGGAGGTTTGTGTGGCGTGAAACCACCTCTTAATAGCTGTTGTTCCCAGGTGCATTCAAACCCGAGACGGTAGCACCTGTTCGGGTACCAGTTAAGGGAAAAGAGTGAACAAACCCAACAACAAAAAAACACTATAAAAATGTATAAAAATACATGGAATACATTTTTATATGGTGACCAACAATGCCTATTTATAAGCCAACAATATATTCTATCTAGTTGAAGGCATAAAATTGCGTTTGAAATATTTAGATTGCGGTATTAGATAATCCATAGAGGTTGATATGCCGCTAAACAAATTCAACTAAACCAAACCAATCAAAATATTTAGATTTCAGCATTAGATAATCCATAGAGGTTGAAATACCGCTAAACAAAATCAACTAAACCAAAGCAATCAAAATATTTAGATTTCAGCATTAGATAATCCATAGAGGTTGATATAATGCTAAACAAAATCAACTAAACCAAAGCAATCTAAATATTTAGATTTCAGTATTAGATAATCCATACAGGTTGATAAGCCGCTAAACAAAATAAACTAAACCAAACCAATCAAAATATTAAGATTTCAGCATTAGATAATCCATAGAGGTTGGTAGGCTTCTAAACAAAACCAACCAAACCAAACCAATCAAAATATTTATATTGCGGCATTAGATAATCTATAGAGGTTGATATGCCGCTAAACAAAATCAACCAACTAACCAATCTAGCAATCACTCGAAGACGCCATCATGAATGATATAGTTAAAACAATGACGTCTCTATTTATTTTTAATGTGTGAGTAAATTTTTTCTTGTCTCGTACTTATAAAATCTTACCACCTTCATTATTTTCAATTAATGAATTTTAATTATAGCCAAATTAATTCTACCACCACTTTGGCATCAAAAATAAGCAAAAGAAGATATTTTTTACAGAAACCGCTTCGTTATGTTATCCGGAAAGTGGACAAGGCGATTCGAGTTCAAGTTCCAACCTCGTCTGTTGCATTCAATTTTACAAACATGTGTATTCTCTACCCCTTTCCCACCCAAAATTGAAGATTAAAGAGTAGGATAGTAGCCAGTCTAAGAGAAAGATATCTCTAAATTGCAACCTGTAGAAAAGGCAACAGAAACCACTCCAACGTCTTACTCAAGAAGCCATGGCATTTCAAAGATATTAAAAAAAAAAGGAATCTGTGGAGAGCCATGATCACCTATGTCCTGAAGGGAGAAAATAGCTCTGAATTCCAGACTCTTTAATAAGGCAACAGGAATCCACTTCAATATCTTTCCGAATAGCACTTGTCAATTCACAGATAATAAAGAAAAGGAATCTGTGAAGACCCTTGATCGCCTACGACCTGAAGGCAGATGGCATTGAAAGAAATACCAACATTTGACAGGTAACTCCAGGTTACAAGACTAAACGACCTCCCTTAAAGAACTGACGTTGTGTATTCTTCCTATTCTCTCTAGGATTTAAATGAGTGCTTTAGACTTTTAAATAAACACTGTGAGTTTGCAAGCATCTTGTAAAGAGATAAAAAAAGAGCGACTCACCCCTACTCCTATGACGTCAGTCCGTCCGACCAAAATCCTCGTCTTACATCACATGATGCTCTTTGGCATGTCTACTTCACGCAATAACGAAGAAGTAATCCCCGGTAAACTGTTAATTTGGCAGAACCAAAGCCTTACGCCCATAGATAAAAATGTCCCCACTTTCCTTTTTCGCTAGACGGCTGATAAACTAACCGATGGGTGGGAATCTGGTACGAGGCGTAGATCCAGGTTATCCGAACCGATTACATCAGTTTTTCTAATTCTAACCGGATGTGGTATTTAGAGATCGTTTGAATCAGGCTTTGCTTTATCAATATAATGGATGCAATATTTTAACAGGCAATAGTATTGCACAATATCGTTTATACAATATACTGGTGGGCAATTTTTGCCCTTGGCACGCTCTTGGAATCCCCAACTTAAACTCACCTTCTCGTATACCATTGTGGAAGACGAGTAAATACTAAGTATACTATCTGTTGTAGCCTCGTATATGAGATCCAATTTTTGAATGAAAGGGGCTTCTCGTATGAGAGACGATAATCCTTCCATTCAAAAATTGGAATACAATATTAATCAGTATCATCTGTTTTATTAATTCAGGTCTTTTGTTGTTCTCTCTCCTTAGGGACGTTTTCTTTTTCTCCTGTTTCTCTTATGGCAGTTGCAGACCCTTATTTCTGATGGCTTTGTTGCCTCGTTTTTGGGCTTTAAAACCAGTGTTTCTCAACCTTTTTAAGCAACGGCACGCCAAAAAACAAGTAAAAATATCATGGCACACTTAATATTTCCAAAGGGTATACATTCAAATGTTATGAAATAAAACCATAGATTTTAACAAATACACACCCAAATATGAACATACTTTATTTCAATATTTTTATTCAATTATTTGTGCAGTTTATTTAGTGGGGAACCTGTGCCTGGCGTTTTTTCACGATTTCTTCAATGTTTGGTCGAATGTGCGATAAGCAGACCCCCATTTCTTCTTCAGTTAAGCGTAGTCTTTTTCACTTCTTATTTTTTTGTTATTTAGAGTTGAAAAGCCTAATTCCCATAAATAACAAGTCGAAAATTGCAATAAAACTGATAAAGACTGTTTAGATAATGTGAGATAAAAAGTTTAGTTCATTGTTACAGTGCATTTCTTGCACCATTTGATTGTAATAGTCTCAGTCATTATTAAGAACCATGTGATGTTTGTCTGGCAAGCAGTTTTCATTGGCTTCGTCCTGGTATTCTTTAGAAAGATAAAGCCTTTAAATAATGGATTAATACAAGTTTAATATGTTAGTATTATGCAAGCGAATTAATATAATTTTGTGCTTTCGCAGATTATCATATTTTTGCGTAAATGCCCGCATTAAATGAAAATGCACCAAATACTTATATTTTTTGAAAGAAAGTAATGGTGTTTTGAGGATTATCCCCAAGGAGGATTATATCTTTTTGGTCGTATTTCAGTGGATTATATCAGTAGTGCTCGTATTTCAGTGGATAAGATAAATCTCTAGGTCAATGTTTCTCAACCTTTTTAAGCAACGACACACCTTGGAAGATTTAATCAAATTTTTAAAAGGTGTACATTTAAATGTTATGGAATGAACCCATAGATTTAAAAACGAATACACACCCAAATATAAACTTACTTTATTTCAATGTTTCTATTCAACTATTTGTGCAATTTATTTAGTGTGAAACCTGTTTCCGTGATTTCTTCAATGTTTGGTCGAATGTGCGATAAGCAGACCCCCATTTCTTCTTCAGTTGATCACAGTCTTTTCTCACTTCTTATTTTGATGTTATTTAGGGTTCAAAAGCCGAATTCACATAAATAACAAGTCGAAATTGCAATAAAATAAAACTGTTTAGATAATGTGAGATTTTTAGCTTAATCATTGGATATTTCTTTTTGTTGAAATCAAAATGTATCAACAGATGTAACGTCGAATGTCCTTTATTTTTGGCCCTTGGATTAATACAAGTTTAAATGTTAGTATTATGCAAGCCAATTCTTCTTCTTATCATAACGTAAAGTCCAATGAAAATTAAAAGGAACATTTTTGAAAAGGGATTTGAATCCAATCGAACTTTTCTGTGAGAATATTTATTGACATTTTATTTTGATAAACTTCTAGGTTCTCAACCTTTGTCACGACACTTTAATCAAATTTTGTAAAGGTTTTTTGTATTCCTTTAACGTACAAATATAAACTTACTTTATTTCAATGTTTCTATTCAGCTATTTGTGCAATTTATTTAGTGTGAAACCTATGCCTGGTGTTTTTCGTGATTTCTTTAATGTTTGGTCGAATGTACGATAAGAAGAACTTCATTTTCAGTTGAGTCTTTCATTCTTCTTATTTTTGATGTTGTTTAGGGTTGAGAAGCCGAATTCCATAAATAAGAAGCAGGAAATTGCAATAAAACTGATAAAGTCTTTTTAGCTAATGTAGGATATTCCTTTTGTATTGAAATCCAAAATGTATCAATGGCTAACGTCGAATGTTTTATTTTGAGCCTTCGATCAGTAGAAATGGTGACCAATTCTTATTCATCACATAAGTGAAGTCCAATATTAAAAGGAACATTTATGAAGGGATTTTGAATTCAAGCCTATATTCGCGGCACACTTAAGAGGACCGCCAGGCACGCTAGTGTGCCGCGGTACGGCGCTTGATAATCATTGGATTAAAAGATTAAGAAAGACCTTTGTCATATCCTGCCTTAACGAGGAGGTCAGAGTATTAAGAGACAGAAATATCTTTGTTAGAAACAAAGATGACAGCGCTGAGCTTCTATGTAATATCAATCCTCCTATATGACAGTTAATGATGGACAATTTCCTCACAGATAAAGAGAAGACTTTCGGTAACAGAAACAAAGAAAAGATCACTGAACTGCTATGTAATACCAATCCTCCTATATGGCAGCAGAGGTGTTGTTCTACTAAAGGATGCTGAGAATAACATACTTTATAAGTATTTCAATATGCTATTGACTGCTGGAGAATAACATATAATTTATAAATATTCCAATATAGTATTGACTGCTGGATAATTTCCTCACAGATGAAGAAGAGATTCCGAGATCTTGTTCTACAGAAGGCTGCTGAGAATAACATATAATATATAAATATTCCAATGTTCTACAGAGAAAAGAAGCCCTCACAGAATATATTGAAGGCGTGAGAAAATCCACCAGTGACCTACCTAAAGAGCTTGTGTAATTGAATGACGTAAACGGAAAGGGTTGAGATGATAAAAACACAAAAATTGCTAAGAGCTATGATGGATAGGAAGTTGTGGACACGACACATGGAAGAAGGAATGAATGAATGAATGAATTCAAATTATATTGCGCAATATTATTGTATAAAATTGAGCAAAAAAATACGTTTACTTTATATGTAATTATATGCAAGTCTGGTACAAGGCCGTGGCTATGAAACAGTGAGACTCGAACTCTATAAATTCTTCACCTACGACGATGTGTTTATAATCGGTTATGTACCATGCGCGATACATGATTTGACGAAGCAGGTTTTTTTTCCGGCAGTAGGTTGCTATTTCTTTCTGTGGTAAATCAGTTGCTGTCCAAAGTTATAAAACCCAGTCTGTCCTGCTGATATAATTAGGGGAGATAGGTATTAACACATAAATGAATGTAATGGACTCTACTGGAATTCGAACTCGGTTCTCTGATTCCTTAATCCGAGCCGCTATCCATTATTATCCGTGTTTATAATAGTTATTTAATAAATGCAACTTTATCTGTGTTAAAATTCGGAAAGAACTCCCCCGCCTCCATCAATACTGGAAAGAGCGATAACAGCTACTGGACTTGAGAACCCTGCTTTTCTAAAAAAAAAAAAAAGTGTTTTAAGAAAAAGATTTTATAAATTTCAACCGAAAGTAATAATGGCGGCTCGGTCAATGAATACGAAATGTTTCCTTATAGCGAAACGGCAAATATTGGCATTATCATTACCAAGGCTACAGGAGAGGAGTACTTAGTGCAGATCAGATCAAATTCACTACAACCGGACAATTTGCTAATGATCAAGATTTGTCCGATGCCCTGACGAACATTGTTTTTGTATGTTAAGTCTGCAAATCCAATTAAGAAAAAAATGTCAAGAAACAGAAAAGAAAAAAAATAGTCTAAATTTCTCTTTCTTTCTTTCTTTCTTTTTTTCTCTCTTTCTCTCACTCTTTTTCTTTCTTTCTTTCTTTCTTTCTTTCCCCCTCTCTCTCTCTCTCTTTCTCATTTCTTTTTCTTTCTTTCTTTCTTTTTTCTTTTCTTTCTTTTCTTTCTTTTTCTTTCTTTCTTCTCTTTCCCTCTCTTTCTTTCTTTCTCTTTCTCTCACATTTTCCAGTTTGTTGTTTAAATAACTTTTCATTCTTTCTTTCTTTCCTCTTTCTTTCTTTTCATTTTCTTTCTTTCTTTCTTTCTTTCTTTCTTTCTCTCTCTCTCTTTCTCTCTCTTTTTCTTTCTTTCTTTTTTCTCTCCTCCCCCCTCTCTCTTTTTCTTTCTTTTTCTTTCTTTCTTTCTTTCTTTCTTTCTTTCTTTCAGGTTCTTTCTTTAAGGTCTCGCTCTCATTTTCCAGTTTGTTGTTATTTCTTTCTTTTTTCTTTTTTTATTTCTTTCTTTCTTTCTTTCTTTCTTCCTCTCTCTCTCTCTCTCTCTCTCTCTTTTCTTTCTTTCTTTCTTTCTTTCTTTCTTTCTTTCTTTTTCTTTAATTTCTCGCCACATTTTTCCAGTTTGTTGTTATAAATCTGCCCTTCTCTGTTCTCTCTCTCTCTCTCTTCTCTCTCATTTTCTTTCTTTCTTTCTTTCTTTCTTTCTTTCTTTCTCCTCCTTCTCTCTCTCTCTCTTTTCTCCTCTTTTTCTTTCTTTCTTTCTTTCTTTCTTTCTTTTTTCTTTCTCTTCTTTCTTTCTTTTCTTTCTTTCTTTCTTTCTTTCTTTCTTTCTTTTCTTTCTTTCTTTCTTTCCTCTCCTCTCTCTCTCTCTCATTTCATTTCTTTCTTTCTTTCTTTCTTTCTTTCTTTCTTTCTTTCTTTCTTTTCTCTCTCTCTCTCTCTTTCTCTTTCTCTCACTCTTTTCTTTCTTTCTTTCTTTCTTTCTTTCTTTCTTTCTTTCTTTCTTTCTTTCAGGTTCTTTAATTAAGGTCTCGCCACATTTCTTTCTTTCTTTCTCCCCCTCTCTCTCTCACTCATTTTCTTTCTTTCTTTCTTTCTTTCTTTCTTTCTTTCTTTCTTTCTTTCCCTTCTCTCTCTCTCTCTCTCTCTCTCTCTCTCTCTGATATGTCACTTCATGAATCGCCGATCATGGCTTTTCACAACTTCCTTTCTTTTGTTGCTATATCTATCTATCTATCTATCTATCTATCTATCTCACTCTTTTTTATCTCTCACTCCTTATGTGCCATGTTATTTCAGGACGTGCGCGATCATGACTCTCCACAAGTTCTTTTTTCTTTAAGCAACTCGCAGCCATATCTAAATCCATAATTCTGTTAATCTATTTATTTATCTGTACTATGCTGCTTCAGGATCTGAGTGATTATGTCTCTTCACATCTTCCTTTCTATCTTGCACAAACTTTTGTTCTATTAATCATATCAACCAATTCATCTCTCTCTCCCCTTCTCTCTCTCTCTCTCTCTCTCTGTCTCTCTCTCTCTCTCTCTCTCTCTCTCTCTCTGCGTTTTCTCCTTTCTATTGAAAAGAGAAAACGCTGAGAGAGGCTATCGGACTCTCCGCATCTTCCTTCAATAGTGTTTGCACTAACACTATTTATAAATCTGTTTTCTCTCTCCCGCTCTCCATCTCTCTCTCTCTCTCTCTCTCTCTCTCTCTCTCTGCGTCTTCCTTCAATATGGGAGTGATCATGGCTCTCTACACCTTCCTTTCTGTTTTGCACTAACTCTTGCCCCTATCTATAAATCTCTCTCTCTCTCTCTCTCTCTCTCTCTCTCTCTGTGCATCTTTTACTTTCAATATATGGGCGATCATGGCTGTCTTCATCTTGTGTGTGTGTGTCTGTCTCTATCTGTCTGTGTGCGTGTGTTGCATATTTAGGCAGCAATCCCTCTTTTATATATGTTTCGTTAAAGACGACTGACAAGGTACTAGGAATAAGTTTTTATTCAATTTATCCTGTGTTCGTACAAGTGTTTTGTTTTCTGGACACCAAATGTGTTAAAACCTTCCAAATGTTCTATAATTCCGAGCGCTTTCGATTCTAATTTTAGCCATTATTAAGGATGATTTTATTTTTTACTTTTAACGGAATATATTAGTTGTGTGCATGTATCGAGAGTTATAGGGATGTTTTATTTTCCAAACACAGTAGGAACATTGTGGCCGTGTTCGTAGTTAATGTCATTGGGTGTTGGCTTTTTCTTTTTTATTATAAAGGCTTCCATTATTTTTAATCGTTTTTTACACGTGGATGAGCTTATTATGTTTGTATTTTTTACTAGTATGTTTCGGATGGAGTCTTCTAGGATTGTGTGTGTGTGTGTGTGTGTGTGTGTGTGTGTGTGTGTGTGTGTGTGTGTGTGTGTGTGTTGAAATGAGTTCTAATGGAGCTGTTGTCGGATAGATGTAACAAAAGGCGTCTGGATAGGCATATACTACTACAAATGCTAATGGCTAAAAGTATAGCCTAAAGCGGTCGGGAATGCAGAATATTCGGATAATTTGTGCCCAGAAAAGAAAACACTTATACAAACGCAAAAAAACATTAAATAAAAAGATTAATCGCTGATCCTTTTCAGCCGTCTTTAACAAAATCACACACACACACACACACACACACACAGACATATATATATATATATATATATATATATATATATATATATATATATATATATATGTAGGCTCTTTTAGGGTCCCAGTTGAATCGTCTTCAAGAAGCGAGAGCACAATCTAAAAGGTCAGCCAATCTAACATTGGCCTCATCCAACAATCCTCACTCTTGCTCCATATGCGGCCTCGTTTGCAACTCGCTAAGCGGGTCTTAAATGCCACTTAAGATTATCGCATAAAATTCATAACTGAATCAGTTGATTAAGTTATCAGATCCTCTTACGTCGAAACCGATCCATTATATATATATATATATATATATATATATATATATATATATATATATATATATATATATATGAGTGTGTATGTTGCATGTTCTTTTTAGTACGTGGCTGATCATTGCTCTCCACATCTTTCTTTATTTTTTGTACTATCTACATCACTACGTTTATCTCTTTATTCTTTTTCGTTCTTTACCATGTCGTTTCAGAACATGGGCAATCATGGTTCTTCACAACATTCTGTTTTTACTCTTATTTTTGGCTCTTTACCACCCCTATTTGTATTTGTGGTCATTTTTATGCCATCCATGGATTCGAACTTGTTAAACCGATTCCCATTGTTTACTCCGCTTCTTTTTCTTCAGCGTGGCCTTGTGAGTGTTATATTCCCTGAGTTATCTTTCGCCATTATGAATTTAAAAAAAAAGAAGAAATCAGCTACCTATTTCTGATCGTGAAAGGAATTAATCTATAGTTTAAAGAAAACCCGTTTTTCTTTAGGTGTACCTTTCTATTTCAGCTGTAGGCTCATGGCATTTCCTGTTGTCTGTGGGTGGTGGGTGAAAATGCAAAAACCAAGGGAACGATACAATTTTGTTTCTACGGGCACCTACACCTGACCCCGCGACACATCTTATTCTTGTTGGAAAGCGAATAAATACATATCATATCGTTGCCATTTATCACAAAGCTCAGATCGTTTTCCCATTCTACGACCGTTAAGTAGGCCATGATGTCATCCAGAGTAATTCATGTTGAGAAATAATGTAGACGAGAAATTTTGCGGAAGAAACACATGATCTTGTCGATTAAGCTTTGGTTGAAACATCTGGTTCTCTGGCAGCTGTAAGTTCAATTCTAAGCCACACAAAGGTGATTAAGACTGGTGAGTATTAACTGATATGAGTTATCTCCTCTAAGCATGGAAAATGGAGAGATAACAATCTATCCCTGTGGACTGAATAAAGTGTTCGGTTCGAAATTCCGAGATGATTACCCAGAACGAGAACAAACACCTTGATTGAAGATTGAAGTTTATAAGCAGTAAATTCGACCTTGTCTACCGAACGCTTCTTTGTGGCCGATCGGTAAGGCACGTCAGCGTAAATGACGGTTCCGTATAGGATGCAGGTTCGAATCCTGTCAAAGAACGAATATCTTCTATGAAAATTTCTCGGACATTCAGGCCGGTAAATGTTATTTAATACTGTTTATTATAAACAGAGCATTTACTTAAATACTTGTATCTATAAAAAGAACGTTAAACATAAAAAAAATGTCTTTAATAAATACATATATATATGTGTGTGTGTGTGTGTTACCCCACATTTGCCTGACTGCATGAGATTTTATTGACTAACGTCAAATTTCTGCCCGTTATTATTATTATTATTGTTGTTGTTATTATTACTTTATTTTGCTATCGCCCAATACGTCAATATAATATCCTGAAACATTATTATTAGCTTAAAATATCGCAGAAAAGAGTTGATTAATATTGAGCTAGGTGTTTTCATGAGGTTCTGACAGCTCTATTGAAAGCCTGATGTTTAGGAAATTTAACTACATGTTTTACATCGAGGAAGGTCCGTAAATTTGCTTGATATAACGTGAAAATAAACGTCGGCGTCTATTTTATATGATTTTTAGCTAGCTACCCAAAAATAGAAATTTAAAAAAAAAAAATCTCTGCAACCAAAAGTTTTATTGAATTTTAAATACTTCAGGTTTAAATTTACTATGGTTATCGATCTTATTTTCAGATAATGCCGTGTGAGGACGTCCGTATTTAAAAAAAACAAAAAAAACAAAAACAAAAAAAAAAACGGTACACAAAAAGAAATTACTAGGGGTTAAATGAAGTGTAGTGAACTTTTGCATTTATGATCAGTAAATATATTTTAGCTTAATAATAATATCAACTAACTGCTATAAATGTAAACAATCCGTGTAAATATTATTTATTTATCGAAAAAATATTTTTAACACAATAATGCCCATAATATATAATCTTATTCATAAAAGCAATTAAATGTAATGATATATTTGTTGAGCCGTATGGATAATTCCAAAGAGGATATAGATCCAGAGAAAGCTCGATGTATTATGATGTCTCCGTATTCATATTCATAATATTAATGCTCTGTAAATTTACATCGAGCACTATTTTGTAAAAAATAAAAGTACCTATAAGAACACCGGATTATATATCTTACTGTTCTTTCTTTTATATATATATATATATATATATATATATATATATATATATATATATATATATATATATATATATATATATATATATATATATATATATATATATATATATATATATATATATATATATATATATATATATATATGTATGTATGTATATATATATAAATAAAAAGAAGGAACAGTGGGCGACGCTGTGAAAACGTATTCCTAAAATTTGAGTATTTTGAAACGTGACGAAAATGTGACCATGTTTAAAAGGAACGCTGATCTTATAAAACTTTCAGTTATTCTGTTTGGATAAGTCTTGTTCTTATGTACATCGTCTTTGTCATGTTGAATTGATAATGTTAATTATATTTTATGAATATGTCCTGAAGATGGGTTATTAGACCGAAACGTCCGACGTTGACATTATATTAACATTAAAACAGCATAATTGCATATAAGGATTTTTGTTTTGTTTTTTCCGTATATATATATATATATATGATTGCATATGTGAATGTATATATATATATATATATATATATAAGACACTGAAGTTAACACCTAGTGGTAACAATCTGTTTCATGCTGAAAGTTTTAAGTCTTGTTCTTATGTACATCGTCTTTGTCATGTTGTATTGATAATGTTATATTTATGAATATGTCCTGAAGATGGTTTATTAGACCGAAACGTCAGACGTTGACATATTAACATTAAAACAGCATAATTGCATATAAGGATTCTTGTTTGTTTTTTCCGTTTATTTTTCTTCATATATATATATATATATATATATATATATATATGTGTGTGTGTGTGTGTGTGTGTGTGTGTGTGTGTGTGTGTGTGTGTGTGTGTGTGTTCGTGCCGCACATCTCAGGAACCATAGCATTTTAACTAGGCTATGAAATCACTCTGCATAACATCGATATCAACATAATCTATGCTAGTTCGTATAACCACACAAGTCACCCATCCACCTGCTGCTCTTTTTGAA